AGGACCTCTTCAAGGAGAACTACAAACCACTGCTCAGTGAAATAAAAGAGGACGCAAACAAATGGAAGAACATACCATGCTCATGGATAGGAAGAATCAATATTGTGAAAATGGCCATACTGCCCAAGGTAATTTATAGATTCAATGCCATCCCCATTAAGCTACCAATGATTTTCTTCACAGAATTGGAAAAAACTGCTCTAAAGTTCATATGGAACCAAAAAAGAGCCTGCATTGCCACGACAATCCTAAGCCAAAAGAACAAAGCTGGAGGCATCACGCTACCTGACTTCAAACTATACTACAAGGCTACAGTAACCAAAACAGCATGATACTGGTACCAAAACAGAGATATAGACCAATGAAACAGAACAGAGCCCTCAGAAATAATACCACACATCTACAACCATCTGATCTTTGACAAACCTGACAAAAAAAAGAAATGGGGAAAGGATTCCCTATTTAATAAATGGTGCTGGGAAAATTGGCTAGCCGTAAGTAGAAAGCTGAAACTGGATCTTTTCCTTACTCCTGATATGAAAATTAATTCAAGATGGATTAGAGACTTAAATGTTAGACCTAAAACCATAAAACCCCTAGAAGAAAATGTAGGTAATACCATTCAGGACATAGGCATGGGCAAGGACTTCAGGTCTAAAACACCAAAAGCAACGGCAACAAAAGCCAAAATTGACAAATGAGATCTAATTAAACTAAAGAACTTCTGCACAGCAAAAGAAACTACCATCGAGTGAACAGGCAACCTACAGAATGGGAGAAAATTTTTGCAATCTACTCATCTGACAAAGGGCTAATATCCAGAAGCTACAAAGAACTCAAACAAATTTACAAGAAAAAAACAAACAACCCTATCAGAAAGTGGGCAAAGGATATGAACAGACACTTCTCAAAAGAAAACATTCAAACAGCCAACAGACACACGAAAAAATGCTCATCATCACTCGCCATCAGAGAAATGCAAATCAAAACCACAATGAGATACCATCTCATACCAGTTAGGATGGCAATCATTAAAAAATCAGGAAACAACAGGTGCTGGAGAGGATGTGGAGAAATAGGAACACTTTTACACTGTTAGTGGGATTGTAAACTAGTTCAACCATTGTGGAAAACAGGTGACGATTTCTCAAGGATCTAGAACTAGAAATACCATATGACCCAGCCATCCCATTACTGGGTATATACCCAAAGGATTATAATTCATGCTGCTATAAAGATGCATGCACACATATGTTTATTGCAGCACTATTCACAATAGCAAAGACTTGGAATCAACCCAAATCTCCATCAGTGACAGACTGGATTAAGAAAATGTGGCACATATACACCATGGAATACTATGCAGCCATAAAAAAGGATGAGTTCGTGTCCTTTGTAGGGATATGGATGCAGCTGGAAACCATCATTCTCAGCAAACTATCGCAAGAACAGAAAACCAAACACCACATGTTCTCACTCATTGGTGGGAATTGAACAATGAGATCACTTGGACACAGGAAGGGGAACATCACACACTGGGGCCTATTGTGGGGAGGGGGGGAGGGGGGATGGATAGCACTAGGAGATATACCTAATGTAAATGACGAGTTAATGGGTGTAGCACACTAACATGGCACATGTATACATATGTAACAAACCTGCACATTGTGCACATGTAACCCTAGAACTTAAAGTATAATTATAATTAATAAAAAAAAAAGTTAGTGCACTTCCTCTTTGAATCCTGACAAATTCAGGAAGGGAACTACAAAGGCATAATGCAGGTAATAATACATGGAAATTATTTCAAACAATCAATGAAAGTGCCAAGAGGTGGCTTTGTAGGCCCTACCTCCCTCTCTGTACTGGACATGGACAACTGACATTTTCTCCATCTGATATAAAATACTACACAGGGCCCTCCATCTCCTTTTCCACCTGATGGTCACTCCTAAGCTGCCCTATATCAAAGTGCATGAGCCACGTCTAAAAATGTCCTTAACATTTCTGTACTCCTTTCCACATGGTAGTCAAGACTAGACATACACAATCTAAAGAGATTTATATAAGTTTATCGCAAGCAACACCACATGAGTGATAATGAAGGAAAAAAGGACTTTTAAGACATGTACAGAACAAACAAATCAGTCTGGAGAGAAAAAATGCAATGAAGTCATCAGGGTTGTGGAAAGAGCTTAGCCCTGATCAGCTCTTCATCCAGTGATTTGGCAGGTTTGCATGTAAGAAAGATCTTGATGGAAATGTGATCTACCCTCGAAGAATGACACAAAAGATGACAACAGAACTCTTTCTTTGGAGCCTCTGCTAAGGTGCACATCTTCTTCTCCAAGGAACGCCAAGCCTATCCTGGTTTATTAGCATAAGCCTCCTTGAGGAAATACCACTGGGGAAAGATGAAGGCCTGACTGCTGAGGGTCTCCAGCTTCGGTTCATATTGGGCGCAGTCCAGTGACATCTCTGATCACCAAATAATCAGTCACTGGGAAATGGCACCCTGGTGAGTTCCGAGGTGATTTGTTATTGCTTGGCATGTCTCATCAGTTTGAATCTGGGATAGCTAAACTGGACCTGAGATCCGGAAATTGCTGTTCATGTAAATTAATCCACAGGTAGATTCTGATTGTCCTGCTTCTCTTTCCTTGATCCATCTTCTGTTTCCATAGCAGCTAAAACCTCAGTAAAATGGGACACCTGGCTCAGGCTCAGGCAAAAGTTCCCTGGGGAAATGAATCTGTTCGATGGCCACAAAAGGGGAGACAAAAGACTCTAACACACAGCCTTGTGAACATCAGCCAGGCAAACCCAAGAGGCCCAAACGTCAGAGGGGAAGACAACAAACAATTGCAAGGAGGGGACAGAGAATGTGGAAAAGAATGAAATCAAAGCAGAAACATTTCAGAGGCTGCAAGAGAAAGCCAAAGCAAAGAACAACAACAAAAATAACTTATAGGGAAGTTATAGGCATAAAATGGCAGGACAAAAAGCAGGTGCATGCAGGAGAAGCAGGGGAAGAAACACCCAGAAAAGGACAAAGAACTGGCCGGAGGAGGGAATGAGAAGAGACATCAAACAGTAGACAGAGCCTCTTGACATCAGGCACAGGAAGCCTACCCTGATAATGAATGTTCTGCAGACTCCGAAGGCACAGACTGGGCTGGCATCCGCTAGCACTGGGGACTCACATCAGGCTGTGATGAATGGTGCACACTGCAGACTTAGCGTGCATCTGTCTGAATGGTCTCTCCTTCAGAAGGGCCCAGGGCCGTTCTCCATCACTAATGATCTCATGCACAACTGAAGCTTCCTCCCCGGTTTTGGGCCAGTCCACATGTGAGGTCATTTCAAATGGAGAGATTGGCAGACATGTGAATAGCTTTCACAGACCCCTTGTTCACAGTGACAGTGTCAAGAATGGTGGCCCAGGACAGCTCCCAGGAATTCAGGCCACACGCAACTGCAAATGTCACGCCTTCTCTGAGAACATTCATCAGGGCCAACTGTCACTGTCTGGAATTTGGTATTTGGGGCCCTTTCATAGTCTTACTCTGATTTATTAAAATGTTGAAGTATAGTGGACACTGTCATGCACAGCCACCTTCGGGAGCCTCACAGAAGGACCTGCTGCTGGTGGACGGCCCTTGGTGGTCCGCCCCCTGCGTCTCATGTGAAGAGAGACGCCTGGCCCACAGTCACACCTGTTTGGGGATCAGCCTATATTTGGACTGCTGTGCCAGTGTAGAGGACTAGCTCCATCACCTCAATAAGGGAACCTTCTGAAGGGCAATCCTAGCTTCAGAGCTCTCCGTAGGCTCAGCCGAGATGTCCCACTGCACTGCATCACAAGCCAGCTTCCAACTTGCCCAACTCTGTTTCCCACTTTTCCCTTCCATGGTAGTTGAGGCCAAAAGCAGCCCCTAATATGCGTTTCCATGCCAATTACACACTTTCATCCATCTGTGCACACCTGCATATATATACATACACAATCACATACACACATTTCACATTAATCAGCAATAAGCAACACAATTAAGGACCACTATTCATGTCTCTGCACAAATATCTTCTTTTCAGAGCCCTTCTCTGAAGAAAGCTCTTGTCATTCTGTCAACACATCCTGTTCTATTTTCTCACCCTTAATACCACCTGTTATATTGCATACTCTTTTTTTTTATCATCTGTCTCATGAGAATGTGAGCTCATGAGAGTGAAAACTTCACCTCTTTGGCTTATTGCTGTAACCCCCAGTGCCTGGAAGAGAGGCTGGACTATTGCAAGCACTCCATAAATATTTAAGAATGAAATATTTTTATCTTTTTTGTTCCCAAATAAGAGCTAGCTTAATAATAAATGACATCTTGTCTCAAATTCTAAAGGTTTTAATGTTCAATCCATGAAAGCACAAAACAACACTTTGGTCTACATAACATCTGAGCTTCAGATAAAGTAAATTTTTGCAATTTAGTCACATATTAAGTTATATTTGTTCTCTAGGATCAATCAGAGTAAAACAACAACAAAACCACAAAAACAGCTCGTGAGCAGATTTTTGGCAAGGCTGCAGAGGCACAGACTTGGACAGTCTCCTTTTAGGAATGTGGTCATTTAAAGCCCACCCATCATTATGTGTTTTCTCTCTTTTAAAACAACCAGCTGAACAACTGCCACTAAAGCTTCGTTCCATCATCAAACAACATGTAACGTCCACCCAGAACACCTACCACCATTTCACCCGGAGACAACAGGGATTAATTTCCAAGGGACTAGAGACATACTGAGGTATGAATTCTGAGATCTTAGAGGATATGCCTGTTTTGCAGAGAACATCAGTATTCTCTGCAGAGCCATGAGTATATTACCATCAAGTCATCAAAACGTAGACTCCTTTGGAGGAGGTATCAGCACCCATAACCTCCTACCAAGAGCCCCAAATTCCCCCATTTATCCTCCTGATGCAATGCACCAAACTGTTCTCTTACCTTTGGGGGAGATGTGTCTCCAAGTAACTGTAGGCTCTGGTCTACCCGTTGCTATGCAGGTGAGGCTGATATTGTTTCCTTCATTAATGGAGATATCTGAAGAAATCTCTACAATTTTGGGAGATACTGTGGAGACAAGACAGAATGAAAATAAAAATCCTGCTGAAACATTTCTTAGTTGTCTTCACATGGTAGTTGGCAGAACAGCCCAGAAAGCAAAATATATGGACTATCATAAGTTAATGACGAGAAATTAGAGGAATTACATTAAATATCAAAAAAAAGTCTTACCTTGAATTTAGCTTTGATTTCCTTTTATTTAAACACAAAGTCAGGGAGTCCGAATGGGAATAAATTCTACTGCAACACTGCAATAGCTATTCTCCTAGCCTCCACCCTCTTCCTGTATCTACTCACCCCCACCCACCTCCAACACATATCCACGAGCCATCCTCCACACTGAATTCAGCGACGTCTTGAAAGAATGCAATTCTGACCATATCACATCTCTGTCTAAACAGCTCCAATGGCTCCCCATGGCCACCTGGTCATAGCTCGACTCCTTCTAGGCATGAGGCCATGCAGAATCAAGCATCAGCCTACATTTCCATGGCCATCCCCAGTGATCCCACCTCTGCTGACTCCCTTGTTGTCCCCAGAACATCATGCCCTGTCTGGGCAGTAAGGATTTGGGTCCATATTGTTCCTTATATCCTTCCTGGACAACTCCCAACCATCCTCATTTTTATTTTTATTTTGAGACAGGGTCCTACTTTGTCACCCAGGCTGGAGTGCAGTGGTACAAATATGGCTCACTGAAGCCTCGACCTCCCCTGCTCAAGCAATCCCACCTCAGTCCAAGTAGCTGGGACTGCAGGCATGTGCCACCATTCCTGGTTAATTTTTATTTTTTTTTATAGAGACAAGGTTTTGCCATGTGCCCAGACTGGTCTCAAACTCCTGAGCTCAAGCAATTCACCAGCCTCAGCCTCCCAAAGTGCACTCTCAGCCATCCTTAAGGCCCAAAGCAAATGCCACTTTCTTTGTTGAAACTTTCCCTACCCTCTACACTTCTCTGCCCTTTTGGACACCTCAAATTGCTGCTTCTTCATCCATGTGCCCAGAGCACATTCTATACACCTGGTGGGGAATCGAATAAAACCTCAGTTAGCCACAACTTCTCTCTCTCTCTCTCCCTCTCTCTCTCTCTCTCTCGTGCAGCGATGCACAAGGACTAGATAGGGCCTGCGGAACATCCAGCCATTGCATGTGTGTGCCTGTTTCTTTCTGGGGTCCAGTCATGGAACCTCATCGTTGCTGCACATCTGGGCCTAATGCTCCAGTCTCGGCTTTACTACTAATAAACATGTGATATTTGGTTCCATGTGTCTACTTATCTGTCTTATGTGTTTTAGCATTCAAGTGAATAAAGATGTCACTTATTGAGCTTCCAAACTCCAATTCTAGACACTTATTTCATTAAGCTATGGTTATGTGCTTAGCATCACCCACTAGGCCATGAGCTTTCTGATGACCTGAATGATGTGTTGCTTGTATTTGTATCCACACTAAGAGCTCAACAAATATTTACAGAATTGAGTCATAATGGTTATTCAAGGGAACCACCTTCCCAACCTGCGTGCAACATGTCCATAATAACCTCAGAGCTGGGTCATTGGCAGATATTCTTTCAATCCTACTGATGCTGGTTTTGACTTCTTAGTTCTTGGCAAGTTAAGTGTCCCCTCCATCCAGCACTCTTCTGTTTCTTCATGTTATATTCTTGCCTTGAATAAGTACTCCTCAGAGCCACCATGCTGTGCAATTCTAGAGCACACCATCCACCTGGCTTACAATGTGACCTGGCCTGCTGGAGATCCCAGGGAAGCTGTGCGATGACTTTATTGCTTGTTGCGAGGTCAGGGTGGCGCCCTCACACTCAAATCAGATGGGTTTGCAAATTTAATGCTGGTCTTTCCTCTACTTGAACCATTACTCACTCATTCCTAGTTGTGTTGGATCTTTTCCTTCACGAAAATGGGGTATTATAAAGATATCTTAGCCTTCTTCCCCTTGTCTCCTCCAGTGTTACCTTCCATGTATGTCCTGCATCCACCCAACTGAAACGTTCATCATTAATAAGCATGTGCTGTACTTATCTGTGCTGCACTGAGCTGTCTCCTTATCCCCATGCCCTTGTTGCTGACTTCAGTGCTCACACCCTTCTCTGTGCCTATCCACATCTGTTAACATTGTTCAAGATCTGAGAGAATTACCACCCCTTTGATAAGGCTGTCCAGGTGATCCTCAAGAGGATATGACCTCTCCTTCCTGGGGATTCCACAGCACTTTGTGTCTCCTGTATGGCATTTAAAGTAAACTCTTATGTAACATGTGCCCCACCTTTCCTTTTATACTATAAATTACATTAATATAAGATATTAAACAAGATCCTCACTTAACTTTTTAAGTTTTTGCTGTCCTAACTAGGGGATGTTACAAAGAGTAAGCACCAGTTAATCATTTTTAGATTTCCATCCTCATTGAGCTTCAGATAGAGAGGCAGTGTGTGTGTCTCCACACACACGCGCACGCACACACACACACACACACACATTTAATTGCACTCCCATAAGCATTTGGTGGGACAGAAATAATGGAGAGCGGACATGGACAAGGGTTGGAGGAGACAGAATGCTAGCTCTATAATCTGGGACTTTTAAGCCATAACATTGCAATTTATGGTTGTGTCATTTTAAAAGCTACATCGAGCCTTCCAGGACAGAAAGGTAATTGATGAGTTAATGACTGAGCATTTGATTTGCTGACTGCCTGAAGGGTACAAACTTCTAAATTCTCTTAGTTCTGGAATCATTTAAACTGATCATTGCAAAAATAGACACTTTGATGTGTTTTATTCACAGAGTTTTAACGAGAGCATTCGCATCTCACACACCAGCCACCTCCCCCTCCACCCTCCAACACCAATCCATACATCTGCTGGGCCCTGCCCCTGCTCACTTTTGGCACCTGCACAGCCTTGCTTGCTTCCTGGAGGACAGGCTGCCTGCAGAATGTCTGTGCTGGCCTTGCAGACACTGCTTCAACTGTGCAGGTAAGTAATTTATTGATCTGTAAAGCACTCCGAGAAGCTCTGCAAGGGATTATGTCACGCCAATGCCATGCAATAAAATAAAAAATGATGGACTTTGTGAACACAGGGTGATTTAGGGTTTGTAGTTGGAAGTGTACTTAAAGTACATTTTAAGTGGAAATCAGGCTGGGTAATGAATTACTCTTGCTTTGGAAGGGCTTACTGTGAGTTCATTTTCCTGGCTTCCTACATGATAGCTAATCTGCTAATCATACACTAGAGAACAATGGACAGTCCCCAAGTAGGATAGAAGGTGGTTTGGGCCAGAGCTGTCAGTGCAGTAAGTATATTAAATAAGACAATTGCACCTCATGCTTGGAAGAATCATCTAGAATTGTCTCCCCCCACTAATAATTGGAAACTATCCAACTCATGAGGTAGAAGTTGGAGAAGTGCTCGCTGTCCTTTAAATTCTGCCTAAGAATACAGTTTGAAGGAGGCAAACTGCCCGTGGGTGAGTAAGACAGACCATTCATGGCATAGAGATGAGGTGGTTTGACCAGGGGAGCAATCCCAATGATCAAAAACAAATTGGCATATGCCTAAGATGCTATGGGAGTCAAAATATGATATTCTAGGTGGCAACTTCTCATTGTCAGTACAATTCAAGACTACATTGAATTGATTAGGGTGCACTGTGGTTTTAGTTAAGCCATCCTCATAAGGAAGCTTCTGACCAAGTGTGAGACAGGGCTACTTGTATTTTTATATTGTTTCCATGGATACATTCTGTATCCGACTTCTCATCATTCAGACTGTTAGAAACATACTAAGATTGTTTTGCTTATTTTCATTCATTCACTCCTTCTTCAATATTCATTGATCACTTTCCATACACCAGCACTGTGCCAAGCACTAAAGACATAAACTAAGTAAGATACCATACTTTTCCTCAAGGAGTTCACAGGCTCAAGATATAAAAACAGATGCAGAAGCCTAATATTCTAATGTATGGTGACACAGAATGGTGAATCAGGTGTTATGGGGACACAGAGGATAGACATCTAAGCCAACCTTGACATGGATGTCATAAGAGGCTTTTTAGATATGTGATACCTAACTTAAGCCCTAGGAGTAAGTAAAAATTAATCATATCTGGAGAGAAAAGGAGGAAAGATATCCTAGGCAAAGGAGACAATATAAGGCAAGCACTATTAGTAAGACATTTTATGGCCAGGCATAATTGTTAATGGAAGAAGTCTACTTTAGAGGTATAGTCCCCAACCTTGTTGGCACCAGGGACAGGTTTCATGGAAGATAATTTTTTCCATGAACTGGGGATGGGGGAAGGAATGGTTTCAGGATGATTCAAGCACATTACATTTATTATGGTATATAATACAATGGTATTTCTATTATTATTACATTGCAATATTGCAATATATAATGAAATAATTATACAACTCACCATAATGTAGAATCAGTGGAAACCCTGAGCTTGTTTTCCTGCAACTAGAGGGTCCCATCTGGGGGTGATGGGAGATAGTGACAGATCATCAGGCATTAGATTTTCACAAGGAGTGCACAACCTAGATCCCTCGCACGGGCAGTTCACAATAAGGGTTCATGCTCCTATCAATGCTGCCACTGATCTGACAGGAGGCAGAGCTCAGGCAGTATTACCAGCAATGGGGAGTGGCTGTAAATACAAAAGAAGGCTTCACTCACTCAGCCACCAGCCGCTCACCTCCTGCTGTGCGGCCTGGTTCCTAACAGGCAACAGAGCATTACCAGTGCATGGCTTGAGGTTTGGAGACCCTTGCTTTAGAGGCTGGGCCAAAAGTCATTCAATGAACATTTTGTGAACACCTACTGTTACACAATGGTGTGCTAGGTATATGAAGAACACACAGACACATACCAATTTGCCTGGCCCCCTATGAACTTACAATCTGTTTCGGGAAACTGGGCATATAAACATTCCAGAGAGTTGAATAATAAGGCAAAATATGTTAGAAAATTGTGTATGATT